AATTCGCTACGTCGCGGGGATACTCAAGCATTGTGGAGTTACTCTCCCAATATAAACCGTCCCCTCCCGTCCCAGCCAATATCAACAAAACCCTGGCGCGCCACTCCCTTGGGCCTTCTGATCCAGTTCAAAGCCCCTCTCAACCTATCCCCGCACCGTCGGATTGCCCTCCCCCGCAGAAACCCCTTCCCCCCTCCCCCCTCCCCCCCTCACAATAGCGGTTAGCCCCCTCATCATTATTTTCTCATTCCCTCTCCTTCCCTATCTCCCTACCACTACCACCCCACCCCCAACTATTTCATTCTATCCCTTCGTAGATAGCCGCCGTATACTACATGTAAAGTCGATGCGGACGACACTCTGTTTGATATAATTCGGATACATAAACACGAGTTCATGTGTGGGAGTGAATGTAAATTGGCGCAGCGATTTCTGTGGTGGTCTATGGTGCATAATCTATTCTCCCCCTTCTTTTCTTTTTGTCATTATTCATTTATTCTCACCTTACTTGTATGATACCATCTATCTCTTTTTGTTAGACGGCTCGATCCTATCATGTACATTACTATAGAACTTATCAAGAAGCATCCAATGATCTGATAAGCTAATTATTTGCTCTTTCCCTCCTTCTGCCCTAACCCCACCCCTAAAAATAACGAAGCACCCATACCACGCCAGGACGAACGAAAGGAAGGAAGAACAATAAGGAGGTGAATGGATGCGAAATCGCCAGGTATCCCCGACCCAATCTAAAGCAAAAAAAGAGAGCTTCATAACGACCTTCGTACTACCAGGAATGGGCCCTATCTGGCAGAAAGCTCCAGATCAGCTTGAAAAGCAGCAAACCATTTCCTACTCCCCCAATGTCTAGTGGACTGTGCCGCGCAGGTCACCGGCACAAATAACTTGAACATTTGAACCCGAATTTAGTATGGGCCTTCGGATGTGCACAAGCAACTCACCACACAAATATTTTCCCCCTGTGTTCAGGCTCTACCTACCTATGACAAAAGCACCTTCACGACGTCCTCATTCCCATATCGAGCTACCCACTAGAGAAGTGTTCGACCCTCTTTATCCACAGTTTCGGGAGCAACATCCTGCCACGAAGGGGTTGTTCGACCGCGCACGTCTGTCGGGAATGATATCCTCAGGATCTAACAGTGCCTTCACGATGGCCACTTGCTCTTTTCTAGCGGCCCACAAAATACGTTACCCACCGCCTCCATTGGGACATTCACACAGGTCACCCGCGTCGCACGAAAACAGATGTTGTTTAATCAGTGTTCGTAGGCGGTTGGCCCGGACTCGGCTCTTTCGGGAGCCGACCAGGCCTGGCCAGACTGCAGATATCCGCAAGCTTCCGAGTGATAGAGCATGATCGTTAGTATTCCGGAGCAGTGTATTGGTAGGGTGTTGTGCTTGCACCCGGGTCGGGTTACCGTTATTATTCCAGTGTTTTTGGACAAGGGGGGGAGTTCAGCACCATCATACCAGTAGAGGGTGGTGCCATGAGTCCAGTATATATCCCACCGGATGTGGCAGAAGCAACGGAGGGTGAAGGAGCAACATATAGGGAATGATGGAATACGGGTAGACTTGGGTGCGCAACGTGAAAACCACGGGGGCAGACTGGTTGGCAATACTGATATTCGTGGAGATGTGACGATTGATAAAGTTCGAAACAAATGCAAGAGGAGAAACTCGCCATACAATAGGTAGTACGTCAAGGCGAGGAAATTGACGAAGGGGGAACCGGAACAGTGGGAATCAAGCCGGAGGTCTGTTAGATCTGATGAAAGTATGTCTTCCATTTTCCCTCTGGCTTGGTTTCTAATACGGATGCTAACCATGTTCACAATTGCTCTAGGTGTTTGTTCAGTTGCTCGACTTGCCTCGCGAATGGGGTTTCGGATTCCCTACCCGGAAATGGTGGGACTTCCAGCCAACTTAGGCCAATGAGTCTCTGATTTTATATTATCATTAAGGCAAACCTCTTGGGAACGGATTTTCCCCCTCCCCCGGTTTCTATGCCTGACTCTCCAGCCGAATACCGACGTTTTCCTACCCTACAAGACATATGATGCCACCATAGCACAGGTTTCTGCTAACCCTCGGGGCTTAAGTTTAATACCAATCATCACCCATAATTTTTTTACCAGGTTCAAATTGATTTTAACCCCAACCCACTCTCAAATAATTCTAGCTGAAAAAAAAGATATCCCTCAAGATCACCGGGTGGGCAGACTTCCACCCGCTAGTTCGTAGTAACCTAATAGGTGTGTGTGGACTGCATCACTCGTTAGATATCATCACCTAGGTTATCTCAAGCAATACTCGAGTACCTATTGGATTCCCATACGTAACATAATACATGTATGACAGTTTTCATGTATCCAGCGCACCGTACTAATTTATCCCATCGCCAATCGCCTAGAATGCCAACTTCACGGGAATATCCCGAACCCAGAGGAGGACGATCCACGATTAAGATGTCAAAATTGTCCTTAGAGATCACTTTTACCTCCACTATTCCTACTAACACCCACCCACCAGCAATATGGGGCTCTGCTATCATCAAAGACTAGATACTCCCACGAATCCACCCTTCACCCACCTTTCCGGCACCCCGATCCCATCACCCATCCCCGCCAAATAAGGCAAAAGAACACCAAGTCGGCGAAACCCCAGAATATTTTCACTACCGTTAGTTTTGCAAAGCCGCACTCTCGCCCGCACATAGAATTGGATGTCGCTTGGCAATACTACCCTCCGCCCTCCGCCCTCGCCTCCCTTTTTCCGGCCACACAGTCGAAACGTTGCATCCTGATTTTCCACTTCCAGCGTTGAAATATACGAGTGAAAGAAAAGTTGGTTGCTCTAGGCGACAGCCGATGTGATGTATATGAGGCAAAGCACTTATTTATTCTGATGACAGTGCCGAATTTACTAGTTCTCACGCTCCCTTAATGCGGGGCGGAAAAACACGCTCCCCCAGGTGTGATATGTACGGGAGGGACGGAATCGTCAGTCCTCCAGGTAGTCTACATAGCTGCTTAGATAGGGATTCGGTCGCTTGGCTGGGGCGAAAACAGAGTTCTCAGGAACCCTCCCCCCAGTGGGGGAGGCCCTGGTACGGTGAAATCGAGGGGAAGCATCGAGACGTCGTGGGGTGTACATTCCGTTAAGGAGTATTCGGGTATTCGAGTGCTTGATCGTGATTGCGACCTGAGCGGCTACTTAACCTATATATTCATGTATGATATGATATTATACTGAGGAATCGGGGGGGTGATCCCTACTAAAGGTTCCTCAGCTCGTAGGTTTGGTACAACCAACCTATCACTGTTAGGTGCAGGGGGAGACCCGCAGGGCGTTAGGAAAGTTTCCCACTACAATAGATAAATATTTTAACATAAGTTACCCAAGAACGGTTGTATGCGAACAATGGAGAATCCGAGAGCACCAATTGCCCAAACCCTCAACTCGATGTATGACATCCATCCTACTCCAGGTTTCTCCCATCAGGCCAGAAGGAAAACTATACGCTATATCACTATATCGAGGGTGTAGAATCAGAACACAGTCCTATCAACCACAACCCCCAAAATTCCTTCCAATTCACCACAGAGTACGAGTGCCCAAACAGAATTCCGTAGCTCAAGAGACATCGATAAGATGTCCAACCTCCCAAGATTTATCCGCAGTGCAACCCACTCCACAACATCGTCCAAAGCTATGATAGAACGACAGTACATCTAGCCATACCAATCCCCCCCCCCCCCCCACTATATTAAAAATAAAATAAAAACTCCCCAAGAAAAAAACGATTTTTATTTCAGACAAACCTCACGTCTTCACCATCACACCGTACCTTCAGAACGATCCTCAACCTGCGCACCGGTTTTGACAACCTGTGCGGGAAAATGCGAAGGGTAATGATGCCAGGGATTTCCGACTTTTGAATCCGAACGCGTGTTGAAGTGCGCAGTGGTGCAGTACAGTGCCAGCGTGCGATAGGCTCCTCGAGACTTCCATGGAGTCGGAAATGATTTACTTTTTCTACCGTACAATACTTGTGGATGCTCCGAATATCATCCAACCCCTGGCAGCGCAAAGATCCAGTAAATAGGAAGCTTTCTTTGTATTCGGGCCAAGTCACAGATATCCGCTGATTCTATTTTCCCCACTCTATTTTCCTCCTTTCATCTCTCTCTCCTTTCAATTCTATCCAGTTCGCTAGTGATCCCTCACTATAACAAGGCGGTTGATGATAGGACAAGAAAAATATCTCATTGGATGGACTATCAGATGATCAAATCGCCAATTTCAACAATCAGTAGTGGTGGAGACAATTGGATATCATAGGCTGCAGCGCACCGTACCGCTCCGGCAGTGTTCTGTACCGTGCTTGATGAGCTCTCGGCAAAGCACTCACGCGTGACTATGATGGAAGGACAACTTCTATTTATTCATTCGTTACCTCGAATAAATTCGGGTTCCTGGATACCGATCACCCCAACTCACCACAGTACCCCATCACCCACAGTACCCGGCCACCCGGCCCCCGGCCAGAACGCAAAACCCACCAAGATACAGCATAGCAAGGGGTTTATGATGGTGATGATGCGGAAGAAAATAAGATTGAAAAAAAAAGAGGGTGAAATAAAGAAGTTCACGATACGGCACCACACCACGCCCAACCATATCATAACAGAGGAGAAAAAAAGGAGAAGCAAACCGCGCAACATGAGAATTTTCACAAGGGCAAAAACAAACAGAAGGAGAAAGAAAGAAAAAAGCAAAGAAGAAAAAGGAAAAGAAAAGAGAAAGATGGGGCTGATAAAAAGCAACGCAAGGTACAAGTAAATGAAGAAATCATAAATGCGCCCGTTAGAATAATGAGTATTCACATCTCCACCGATCCGTGGCGTCCCGGACGGGACGGGGCAAGGGCATATAACCCTCCCCCCAGGGCCCACGCCCGTGCCAATTAATCAAAACATGCTAGACCCCTTCTTACTCAACTTGCCTCCTCTTACTTTGCCTCCCCCGACCCCACCCGTTCTGGCCCCCGCATCCCCACCACTACCACCAAACCTCAGTCCCAGAAAGCTCTTTCGAGAACTAACCTTCTTGCCCTCCTGAATAGGTTTCAGTCCACCACCGCCTCCAACAGCCGGCAGCCTCCCACCTCCTCCCCCAACAACCGGCGGCCGCTGCTGCTGCTGCTGCTGCTGCATAACCGCAGCCTTCTCCCGCTCGTATACCATCCTAAGTCTCTGCGTTTCCCTCTCAACCTGAATTTCCCGCCGCTGCCGCTCACGCGCTTCCTCCTCAGCGAGCATGCGGAGTGTTGCTTCTTCCTCTTTCTTGAGTTGCGCTGCACGGCGGGCCGCTTCTTCCGCTCTGCGGGATTGGTAGTCTCGTTGTTGAGGAGGGGGGGTATGCTGTGGGTACGAAGTCCTGCGAGTTTGCGGATACGTGACATGGGGAGGATGTTGTGTTGTTGGTGTTGCGATCGCTGGTGGGGGAATACTCGGCGCGCTTGACGTCCTCCTCCTCTCGCCGTTCGGGCTGGCTACGGTTGCCGCTGTCGCGGGGGATGAGGTCGAAGCAGGGGTGAGGTTGAACATCAAGCTCGTCGGGCAAAACCACATATCACCGATCGCCATAGCACTGAGTACCAGCACCACCTCCAACCCCTTCAAGTCCTCCACCTCAACCCTCTTGAGATTGCTCTGGTAGATGGTGATGTCCCCCATGCCCTTCTTATCCCCCAGTCCCTCGAACGTGGCAATGGGAATATCCGGCTCGTTCGCGCCAGCCTTTTTCGGCCCGTTGCCGAGGTTGGCGGGGGACACCAGACTGCATCTTAGCATGCTCTTCGACAACACGCCGCCCTCTTTGCGCCATCGGAAGGTCGCACGGGGCAAGTGCGAGAGGGCATTCAGGTGTGCTGCGCTAGCGGCGTCTAATCTCGAAGCGGTGGGGGACAAGAACGAAGTCTTTGGCAGCGAGAATTCCCAGAAATTGCCGCGGAAGGTGGAATAGTTGTAGGTCACGATAACCGTCGAGTCCGGGTTAAACAGTTGCAGGGGGAATTCCTTCGGCAGGAGGACCTTTGCCGGTGGTGGGGGTGAGCCCGGTGAACTCGATTGCTGCTGGACTATCTCCGGGGTTGCGATGACGGTTGCGTACAGGATGTCGGGGACGAATGCGTCGTGGAGGGTGGTGGAGTATGTTGCATCGACGTCCGGTGCTCGGGTTTTCGTGTACGAGGCCGTTGGTTGAGAGCCGTTCACTGTGAAGGTTAAAGTCGTGATGTGGGGTTCCCTGGGTTGGGGGGTTAGATGGAAGACTAGGGAGGTGCTTGGTCAGAGAGGAGGCAACACAACCGCCGACGAGCGAGCGGGCAAGAAGGGCGGATCACTCACTCGGAAGACCATCGTCAAGAGGCATCTCGGTACTAATGCTATCCAGCTTCTGGAATCAATAAAAAGGGAGAGTAGGTAGAGTAAGGCCAGATGTGTGGGTAGTGGTATTCAGGCATAAACTCCAGAAGCTCTGCCCTCTTTTCACTCATACCCGCCCACCAGTAAGTAGGCTGCGGCACAAGTAAACTTTCAATGGAGGAAGAAATGGGGGGAAAAGGAAAGAAAAGAAAGGCATAACCAACCAAACACTGCCCCCCCCCCCCCCCCCGAGTCCGTGCAACCCCTAAAACACGAGACTACGTAAGAGCCCCAGCGCTAACCCGTTCCAAAAAAGCGTACCGTAGGATTTTTAAGGCGAGGTTGTCGTGCCCCCTGTTGATTCCCTTTTGTGCCTGACGATGAATTTGCAATTGCCCGTTTAATGGATAACCTCCCCTGAACAGGGAAGCTGATCTGTGCCCCGAGTTGCTATTGTTGGAACAGTGCCCATCAAAACCACATCGGGTGATTAGTAATCGGGCGGATTCCGAGTTAATTAACGGGGGTTAAGGTTTGATGGGCAACGAGTGCATCTCCCCGTTGAGAGGTTATCATACGAACAGGGTGATGAGCAAGCAAGGAGAGGACTGTGGTGGGGTGGATGGGGAGCTGTGCCTTGTCTGCGCGGTACGTACTTTACGGTACGTGTCGGAATCCGGGGATTGGGTCTGCCCGCAGTACTCGAGTACTCGTACCGAATTCATGCAGCGGAGGCTGACGGTGAAGTGAAGCGCGAGGCGTTCCCGCCAGAGAGGAGAGGGGGAACGAAGAAGGAGTGGGATTCGTGGCCGTCTGCTCTCCTGGCGCTCCTTCAGTGTCACGTGGCACGTTGTGCCCAGGTTGGTCCTGCACTCACCACTGGTGCTGGTAAATTTATGGCAGACAGAGCTCTGGAGCCTGGAGCCTGGAGCCTTTCTCGAATACCGATACCGTCACTGCAGCGCACCCTGATTACCGGGGCTGGGGGCCCGCGAACATTCCCACCGAGGACCCGTCTCCCATATGCAACTAAGCCTATTGATTGTAGAGGGGAGAAGTTCTGTGAGCGCTCCACCATTTCCTATCTCCCAGAAAGGGTATCATCTATGGCAGGCCGGCCAATACCACCACGGTGCTCGCGGATTACGGTAACTCCCCCACCCGAGCCGGAGAACTTCGACTCTGATAACACGGCACCCGTAGGTGGAAGGCCTGCGCAATCCAACCTGTGAATCACCGTAAGTTAGGTGCATCATAGCTGTACGACAGTAGGCTAAGACGAGTGATAGAAGCGGACACGGGAGAGCTGCTTCAAACCGGCCAGACGGATTTTTTTCCTTCACATGTATGATAATCAGAACACACTCCATCCCAGAATACCCCCCCCCATTCGGTAGCGAAGGCACTGGCCGCGGAGCAGTCTATGATACTTTGCCCTAACCCGGATATCAACCTACCGGAAACAAAAGTCCGCCCAGCCCGATTCCAGCGGGACCAACTCCATCTCTCGAACGGCAACTCTCAGCTCGACTGATTACCGCTATTGAGACAAATGGAGAAAAATACAAGCGACCTTGCTATCGGTAGGAGAGACAACCCCAACATCCCAGTGGGGTTCTCAGTTGCTCTCCCCGCCCAGAACTACCTAAAAACCTGATGTGCATAGCTATCTGTGCCAAAAATAGCTGAACGAGCCTAGGCAGCTATTGGAACACCCTTTTCCGATTTCCAAAGGGCATAAACCACCGATCCGTTTTTGAGCACTTCCTGCTGCTACCCCGGGGTGTTCAATTCTTACTGCCAACTGATAAAATAGCTATCAAAGACATACCCCCAACCCAAGATATACGCATGCCTGCGGCAGAGCACTGTATCACACTCGCAATTGAACGACGTTTGTGAACATGACTACTATTGCATACCGCCATAATGCAGCCATTTTCTTGGATCCTGGCGCTATGCAAGAGCGGCCGTGTTTAATTACGAGTACCCGCTCCCACTCCTCGACGCAGAAACCATGATATTACGCCCAATGAATGGACACATTCCCTTGTTTACCGTGATGGTGCATTTCCAAAGTGCACGAGAGCCTTGCCTGATAGGCTCTAGACTAACGGGTGGGAAGCGCAAAGATTCACGAAATACTTTTGGAACGGGCGGGGAGAAAGTGCATACATGGTTGGCGTAATGCATCGTAATATTATCAACAGCCCGCAATCCTTCAGATAGCGTAGACTGTTTTGTTCTTTCAAGATCTCCCAGGGATTTTCATCCTTACTGCAAGCAGGGAGGTCCGTATCTTTGGGGGGTGGTTCTTGTAGCTGACGCTGGGGATGTTTGTACCGTACAGTACAGTACAGTTACCGTAGTTTGCCGGGGCAGGCCCCTGACGAAATGCCCCGCTTTACTGTAGCTAACCCACTGGCCAATACACTACCGTATTCATTCCTTGGGCGTGTTCTCATCAGCAGTGCGTGTAACCGGTGATATATACAAGGTTTCTTGACCCAAGGGTTCCGGTCCCGGGTATGATGACCGAAGCCATAGATTTCCCGTCTCTCAGAAATACCGCCGTCTATCATAAGAGAGCGATGACCAGGCCCTTACGGCCCGGTATCTATCGGTAACTACAACTGGACGCGTACCGTATACGCCTCTGCAGTCCCTAATATGTCACTTCTCGGGAACCGGTAAATTCCACAGATTGATACCTACTTTACTCGTACAGTACTCCTACAAGGCTTGTACCCCCCCTTGGCACCTCTCGGATCCTGCCGTCCACCCCTTCGGGACCCCCGAGAAGGATGGGCCGGACTCCCGGGTTCAATGATTACCGGCATTCTGGCTTGAGACTGCCATGGAGACTCGGGACAGTATTACGTGTGCATAATATTGCTTATTTTATTTCACTTTTTTCTAGGCGGAGCGAGATAGCGTACCGTATAATACTGTGGCTGAAGCTGGGCGAACCTGGCTATAGCGAGTAGCTTGATGAGAAATACCGCGCTCAAACTATCAGTTCCCAACATCACCGCAATAGAGTCTTGCTTCTAGGAATTCCCCCAGTTGGCCAGAGAGCTCAAGTGCTGGTACCGGACGAGTGGTATAGGAAACGGGCGGGACTATGATAAATTTACCATGTAAAGAAATGGAAGCACGCCTCCGGTGCAATCAGTCGGATAATATGAATAGCCCTTATACCCAATAGTTCCGCCTCAGCACCTAAATAGAGGGAAAATACCGTAAACCGGTATCTGCACTGTAGAGTTTGATTCCGGGTAATAGTGTCTTGTGCCATAGGATGTTATACCGCGAAAAGCTCTGACTAATTTGTTTTCCTTACGGCCATCCGGTCTCTTTTGTGTCCCCGTCGGGCGGAGGTTAGAGAACAGCCAAGCTTGGGCGAAAGACTTCAATATGAGGCTTTGGCGGGATATGAGAGGGGTTGTACGGGGGGGGGGGGGGGTACGGATGGTGCTGAAAAGGGCCAGGTTGGATCCATGATATTCTGATCCGCAAAGCCGGGAGCCGATTGTGTATTTCAAAAGCTTAAATTGGGTAAACTCCTTGCTCATCCGAACGGGGTCCAACAACAGCTACCGTATTATAATTTAACCTCTGTTCCCCTTGGTTGCCAGTGCATGTCTTAAACGTTTGATGTCCCTTCATACACCTCTAGACGTACAGCGAGGTCCCCGAAAGTATCGTATCGTGTGAATCCCAACCCAGCGAGGCGATATCGATTTACGGGAGAGAGTTGGGAGGGATATCGCGTACCCACATACTGTAGTCTCATTTTGCACACCGCCCTCTTCCCCTCCCCCCTCTTCACAGTGCGGGTCGGGCCTCACAAACGCATACTATATACTCTCACTAGCTAGGAGGGAAACCCTTACTATGTCTTGGGACATTATTCTTCGAATAATAGCGTAGGTTTTCGTATCGTAAGCAACCCTGCCGCCCCGGAATTGATTCCTGTAAGGTGCGATACCGGAAAACGGTTTCCGGCACTATAAATTTGATGTGGAGTAATGGTGACCCCTTGCACTAGTGGTTTATGCGGCGGAAAGTGCTGATTAACTGAGGCTCCTTACAACATGGCTTTTAATGGCCAACGCGCAGATATCAGAGGATGGTTAGACGAAAAAATTAGGGATGGGACTTTGGTAGCATATGGGGGGCTGTGCGCAGGAGGACTCCATCGAGGTGAGGCTAGGTTGGATGCACAACGTTCCTATCGGCGATTCCGGGGGTTATTTGTGTTTAGAAAGCCAAGTTGGGTTGGGTTTCCTTTATCTCTATGGACCATGTTTAAACCCCCCCCCCTCTCTCTTGCATCTCCTTTGAGATCGGATGGTGTATGGTTTTCTTAAAATAAAAACGGCCCAGCTGATGGGGTCCAGCCGTTACAAACTGGCAGTGTGTATCTCTTAGTGTGTATCGATCGGCATTATGAATAATTATGCTGTGATGCTTTGAGTTAGATGACATGTGTGTTTTCTGATTTATCCATTCGTAAGGCTTGATTTACTTATATATACTGATATTCCAAGCTAGCCGATTTCTACTGCTGAAGGGTGCCTGTGCATCGCAGCGCAAGCACAGCAGGATAACTAAGCGCCGAACGAGGCTGGTCATTTCCTGTTACTGATGTGGTAGGAGCAAGCTGGGTATTGTGACAGATTCGGGGACTGATCGGACGGCACAGCTCGGCACTCGGGTACCGGTACGGTATCCTCTTCCAACGCCCGACCATCGCAACTTCATCCCTTCTATAACCCCCCTCTTCCACTCTCCACTATCCCACTCTCCCTCCGCTCCATCCCACATGACGTAAGGTTAAGCCAGATGTGCCCCTACGACTGCAGCACCCTCCTCAGTGCAAGACACCTCCACTACTCGTGTCTCCGCGCCAAGAATTGGAGCCCGTTTTGGAATAGCGACAGTGGACACATAAAAGGTCTAGCGTTCGAGCTGTTCGAAACACTAGAGTGTATGAAAAGTACCAGTACTGGTAATGGTGATGTATTAGAGTATAGGAAAATGATACAACACCAGAGAGTTGAACAGAATCTGCTGCGAAATACAATGGATTCGGTGCGGTTCTCCTTGCAAGGCAAGCATACTCAGCCATGCATGCCTGGCTACGAATTTGGCCGTATCAAACAGCCCGAGGGATAACATACCATCAATATTCTCCATAATATTATTGTAATTTAACTTCTTTCACCAGAGATTTGCTCATCGAAGCGGTATCATAAGCCTTGGACCCTTGCCGTCGGACGGCATTTCGTTTCGAAAAGAAATTACCCCCAGGTCACCGGAAAGCCGCCGTGGATCAAGGTAAATGTAGCAGGCTCCTGCAGCACAGAACTGGGCCGGGCCGTGCTGTACAAGAGATACATACGAGTGCTGTAGTGTACAATGCCCGGAAGTCCCGATAGATATGACGCATCAAAAAGCGCAAACCTTCACTGAACACGGTACGACAGTAAGTTGGGGGAACAGCTCTTTTCCAGCTTGCACCGACACCACCGAGAACTACGCTGCGATGCGCTAGGTTAGGTGAACATGTGTTTTTCGATTGACTCATTCATACTGCTTGATGCATTCGTCCTAGTACCAGTACAGTACATATACTGATACCACTGAAGACACTCTAGGGTCTTTGTTCATCGTAGTGCAAGACCCGTGCCTCAATAAAGGGCAGCGTTCAGGGATGTATGGCATTTCCTACTCAAGCGGGGTGCAGGTGAACTACCGGTACAGTACCAGTGCCAGCATTATTGGCACAAATTCTGAAGGATTAATCGGACTATCCCAAGGTGTCCAAGAGGCTCCATAAAAACCCCTGCTTTTATTCAGCCTCGGGGAATTCCAGAAGTCCACTAACTCCATCACCCGCCATCTACCATATCAAAAGTATCAAAAAAACAGAAAACTTCGCAACTATTCAGTAACAATCTTAGCTCTTTCTACACGACCAAGATCAGCATTACCACTACCGACGACCGACCAAATATTCTCGCGCGGCTATCCCCACTAGATCCCAGGTTGCGGCACGATGCGATGGACCGCAGTCTGGAGGAAGACATTCTGAAGAAATTTCCGAGGACACCCCCCAGAAGCACGTAGAAGCAAGAACATTGGTGAAGCACCGGTACCTCAAGATACCCACTAATACATAAATATTTAAACTCCTGCTAGTCTCGTTGAATACCGATAATACCGATGCTACCCTGGAAGAAAAAAGGTACCCAAATCAGGTGACAAAAGCTAAAGGCAACGGCCCATGGCTTGGGATCGAAGGGTCGGATAAAGGGACAGGATGGATGAACTGTGGTACGCCGTAGCAGTCGAAATGGGACCGACTGACCTCAATACAGACAATGTTCCTTCAATAGGGACATTGGGAGTCTACCTCTTCTCGTATGGACACGACTGCGTGGTGAAAACGTTGCTTGACGGTCACGCGGAGGTGCTAGTGCCACTACAGCCCTAGCGGCTTCCCGTCCGACCGAAATCTCCGTCATATCATAGTCACCGTATGGATATTTTCTTGTCGCAAAACCCCTTTGCTCATTTTTTACTGTTCATTCATTTTTCCCTATCAGACAATCACTTTTTTCCTCTCCATCTCTCCGAAGTGTAGATATAAGGGCTATTCAGATAGGGAGGAGAAAATATAAAGCCCAAGCACTCCTACCACCCGTGAAACAAGTTGTAGGAGCTAACTTAGCTGTATACCGAGGTATAGGGTGGTGACTAGCCACTACCTAGGATACGCCCAACGAAGACCATACTTTCACCAGAGCCCTCCAGGCGCGAACTCACAGATTAAGCCAGGAAACCGCCCACACCCCCCAAACCCATTCACAAAAGAAAATCCATCCAGTAAGGAGTCTCGTGAATGAGATATCAAACCCGAATGCTAATTAAACCAGAAAAAAATCCCTCCATGAACTAAACCTTCCATGCATGGTCTTGGATGCGGATCCCCCGCATACCGCACGATTTCAGAGAACATTGTAGTACCCAGCCTACTCGAGTATGCCAGTCCAAGCCCTTCTCCAGCCTGGTTGGACTCCCGTACACTCGAGTACGCTGCGAAGCTCGCTACTCCGAACGGGGCCCAACATCCGTTATTCTACTCTACAGCCCTCCCTGCTTCTTTTTGGCTCGACTGCCCGATATCCCTACATGCAGCCTCAAGTGCATGGCAAACCATTCGAGTTTACGTGGTATTCCACCCCAGCCTACCAAAAGTGATCGAGCGGGCCCACGGTGTGTTACGCGATATCGACCTACGATCAGGTTGAGAGGAATATCCCGTACCCCCTTCGCCTTCTTTTTCCCGCCACAATTTTTATTTTATTTTCCCTTCTTAGGGAACCCCCTCCGATCCTCAGGTTTGGCTCCACAAACCCCCTTAACGAGGCAGAGAAAGCATTGCAGTGTCCTAGCTCACTAGTGTCCGGACGATAATGGTACCGATTAAGCAAGGAACAAGACCTAAAAAGGGGATTCTCGTACCACCGTACAAAATTCAGTGCCGGGAAAGGTCCCTCTTTCCATAAGATCCATGCTGTAAATAACTAGAAATCACTAATAATTAGGCTTCCCCATAACCAGCCGATTTTAGATGGCCAACCTTCAGGGATTAGAGTGTGCTTAGGCAAACTAATTCAAGATACGGCCCCGGGAGCATACGAGGATGAAAAAAGCCGAGCTGGGTCCGCGATGCGGGGTACTAACTGTGTATCCAAAAACCTAAATTGGGGTGCTCTCCCCACACCCCACACGCAAATCCTCTTCCTCTTAGATCTCCTCTCAGATCTAATGTGCTATTTATTTATTTTTTGTACCAGCCCGGCTAACCGCGTCTGTAAGTTTGCGGAAAGCTCTCGCACAATTTCACACTACTTACTATATATCCTACAGCACGCTGCCTAAACCTACCGTTCATGATGTGGAAATGCAGAGGAAGGAAAGTATGAAACAGAACGCTTGAATTTCCAATTTGGCCGAGCCCATATGACCAACACATCATAGTACTCGAGTTTTTAGCAGTCATTCGTTTTCCAATGATCTGTCCAATGCCAAGAAGATAGACAACTTATCACAGACCCAGTCGGGCAGGCCGGTGGGGGAAAACTCTCATCTCGGCTCTCGCCGAATGTGCGCTAAGCTGGTAAGATAACTAGAGCAAGAATCCAGAGAAGCAATCATTCCCGACGGTTCGAGCTTCCCTCAACTCCACATCGAGTGATACCATGTGATACCACCCTCGCAGATATCATAGGTTGAAACAACCTATGATATGAAGGATGTTTCTCGGTAAGACCCCTAGAAAAAGGCATGGCAGAAACCACACCAAGACAAACCGAATTGTGGTAGAGCTTAGGACGTGCCGCGGTGGATGGCTTCATTCTCGATCCTATCATATCATACATAAATTTAATATATTATCATAGATCCACAAATCCCACAAAGATCTCAGGCAGAACTCTGGAAAATCCGGAGTCAACAAATCCCCCCCCCTAATCTAGAATTCCAGTCTGATTTCCCAACTTTTCGAGGAGAAGTACAGCATTCTATATGACGCGGTGGGGATACCACACTCCGTTCCGGAAGGAAGGGAACGCATAATTATCATACCGCCTATGCATCCTATCCTGCCCCGCTGCATGGCTAGCACGAAATTACGGAGTAAACCCAACTCAACCAAAGAAATCACTCCCTTCCTAATCAGGTTCCAGAATATAACTTAGTAGTAGTAGCGAGCGAACAAGCTCTCCAATTCCAATCCCGTTGGTGCGATATCCTAACTCTCTTCGAGGAAAACCTGGCCCGGAAGGGCGGTATCCAGGACCCGACGACGCATTCTCACGATCACACTTCTCTCTTCTCTTCCAGGGAAACTGGGGGACGACGTTTTCAATCCATCCGTCCAGCAAGCATGGGCTAGTCTATTTTCTGCCGTCCGGCGGGAGGGGAAGAGCGAGAGGTGCATGATCATATCCCCGTCTTCAATCACGTTACCGCAAAAGATATATATCACGGATAAATAAAAATAAAACATTACGAGTAGAATAGCGCCGTACTGCCGCTACAAAAACGGGACAAAAGAAATATCCTTAGTGCTCGAGTATAATACAACCAAACGTCACCAGGTCGGTTGGTTGGTCGGTCCTTCCTTCCATCCAGGAACCGCGAGGATGAAAGCACTCAACAACACACACTCTCTCTCCCCAAAAGTCAAACATACGCACACACACACCCGAGTCCATACGGTATCATAAACCAAACTCGTGATACGGTACCCCACGACAAAACATCCAAGTTAAACAATCACAAAAAAGAGTATGATATTTACTGATTTAACAATTTATTTATTTAAAAAAAAAATCGTCTTGAACCACCATTCACTAAAAAAGAATACCACTCCACTCCACCCCACCAAAAATATCCAAACACACCCTCCCCCCCCTTCCCCACACAAAAAAAAAAACATTCCCCCCCCAGCCATTCCCTAATCCTTACCACTTCCTGGGTCCGGGGACATGCGCGTCCTAAAGGCCTTGCTGGGAATGCCTCCCTAGTTTTTGACTGCAGTGCCTGGCCCCACCCGATCGTTTATATCGCACATTAACTATCGCCCCCCTGCGCACACGATTCTTCGAAAGTGTTTTTGTACAGTAGTAGGGCAGAGGGGAGGACGGGGGAGGACGGGGGAGGACGGGTTGTGATTCTTGCTGGGGGGTGATGGGTAGGTAGGTTTTACGACTGCTGCATCCGAGTATAATGATGCCCCTAGTATCGGGGTGTCTGACCTGGCTAGGTTGGTCGAATGAATGGAACCGCAGTGCACGACACGGCTGCTCTAGCCAAGCAAGCACAGTAGCCCGGGAACAAGAAAGTTAGAGAAATCGCTTTGGTCTATTCAGCAACCCTATCAAACTACTATCCACCCCAAACAGAACAGAAGCCGCGGGAAAAAGATCACCGAAATCAACACATTGAGATGTGGCAGAATCGAGCTGCCAACTATACCCTCATTAGGCACACTGCCACAGCCTTTCCACCCCCAGAAACTCAAACTTACATATCAGGTAAATGACCCACCGAGTGACATCTCATGAAACCTAATTCTTCATCCACAACTACAATCAGCACACCAATTTTTGAAGCGCCCAAAGATGTGATATCACGCCAACGTCAACAAGAATTAGCAAAAAAACATTGCACCGATAAAACAGACAAAGTGCCGTAGCCATCATCAGCATCATAATGCTTTATCATTTCATATCCCATTCAATCGCCCAACCTTCCTTTCACAAACTATCCAGTCATTCGTCAGCCCAACCCAACCCCCAACTCGTCCCGGATGACACCAGAAAAAAAGAAATCAACAAAACGAAACTTCTCCACCGTGAAAGAAACAATCAGCCAGTTATACAAGGACTAAAACAAAGTAAACATGCAACAACCTCACCCCCGACAGAAATCAGAAAAAAGTAAAAAGTAGCAAAAAAATGTAGCAACGGTAATATGTATCAGAATAGAAACCTCCGCCACAGACCAGACAAGAGAGAAAAACTACTGTAACAGTGGATCTCTATAATGCTTCTGCATGTTCGCCTTGCGGTTGACACCCCACTCCTGCCTTCTGCGTCCACGATTCTCAACATCTCTAGAACGCTTTTCCTGCTCGTGGACTTCGCGCTTCTTAGCCAAAGAGACGCCAAGCATGCCCTGGCCACCGTTCGCACGGATAATAGCGTTTCTGCGGCGCCCTTCCCGAGCATCGACAATGACACCGCCCTCCTCATCATCGTCATCAGAGACTACTTCCGTACCATCAGAGTGAGGATACTGTGTGTCAGCGATGCGACGGACCTCGCGAGTTTGAAGAGGATGATCGCGGAGATTCTGTCTATAGTAGCGGGCGAGGGAACGGTGACCAACGGAGCGTCCAGAGGGAAGATGCAACTCGTAGTCGTCATGGTAGACCGCATGGGAATGTGCATGGGAGTGAGCATGTGAATGCCAGCCGTCGGTCATGTGGTGTCTAGCTTCCGAGTGTTTCTTGTGGTGATGGCCCTTAAGGTCGAGAGGGACAGCACAAAGGTCTTGGGAATCCAGAGAACTAGCACTAGAATCGGTCTCCCATCCTTCGCCATCATCCGCTCCTTCCCAACCTTCATCTTCCAGTCCACCTTCCTTCCGGATGAGAACTGGAGCCTTCAGTCCGCGTTTACTAGGTTCTCCGGTGGCCTCGTCACCCGAGACGTCACTATACGTGGACGTGAAGTCATAGAACTGACCCAACTCGATTTGCTGTGATTCTGTTTCGAAGCCGAGCATGATGTGGCCCTTATCTCTCATATGTGTTCTTATTCCCTCGAGACCCCCCTTAGTCTTATTGCAATACAGACACTGATTTCCGAGCACGAGTTTCTGACCAAGATACTGGATCAGGCCTTCCATATCGGCAAGGAAACTCTGCTCCGGAATAAATAGGCCATGCGCCTTAGTCATGTGTGACACATTAAGCAGCAACGACGGGGACACGTATGTGCAAAATAAGCACGCCTCAATCGACAACTGTGGTAAATCCTCCAACTTTTCGGTAGCGGCCTTAGGTGCATCTCCATTTGAGGGCAAGGTGACGGTTTTCGTCGAAGATCCAGAAGATCCATTCCCAGCCCCCTCGGCAACCCTCAAGGTTTGTATCATCCCCGCGAACTCCGCGTCAGAAATCACCTTTTCCTGTTCCTTATCCTTCTCCGACACCTCAACCGGCTCCCCAAGCGAAAACGTGCTGCTGATAACACTGCCGGTTTCGTCCTTCTCGTTGACTCGGGATCCCCCGTTGCCTCCACCTGCCCGGAGAGCGCTCAAGTCCAAGTTTGTAACGTTCTGTCGATGCCGCTGGGATCCCACGTGGTTCGCGTAAGCATTTTCAGAATAATACGTCTTATTACATGCCTTACAGATCTTCTCGAAAGAAGCGCGTTCCCGTTCCAGTCGTGTCGAAGCCTGAGCCGTCAGGACTTTTTCGGCGAACGTTTCGGAGGAGAGTGGCGGAAGAACAGCAATCTTTCGCTTCAAATTGTACTGGCTATGTCACGGTTTAGCTAATTGATACTCTCACGCACAAAACTCGCCACCAAAAGAGTATACATACTGCCAGTCGGTATGGTAGTGAATGCGCTGCTGATCATGATTGCGAAAAGCGACTTGACATGTATTACAGGTGAAGGGATGCGTCTGCGATATGGGAGCGCTCTGCACGCTTGGAGCTGCAGCTGGTAGAACGGACGTCATGACACCCTCCCCCTTTTTTTTCTTTAAGATGCGAGTGTTTTATGAATGTTTTCCAGAAGTGGTGGGGAGGCGAGGGGTAAATATTCCGCTGGGAGGGGTAAATGCAGGGGTTTGTTTGCTGAGCTGCAGACGGAGTGTGACTATTCTTTTCAGACGGCTGGCCCTTAGTACTTGATCGAGAGGAAGACTGATGATAAGAGGGGAGAGGTGAGAAAGAGCGGTGTAGGGTCTGCTCATAAAGGGCTGAGCAGAACAGAAAGGGAAGGCGATAGCGTGAGAAAAAGAAGGAAGGAGAAAATAACACGGGCACGAAAAAATTATTGTGGATGTCAGCAGCGAGTTTGCCCCCTTCAGGGAGCCGCGATCTGAAACCGACAAATTCACACCAACGAATAAACGCCTGACCAACAGCCCCAGACCAGCCAAGGCATAAGTCAAGCGAGACGAGAGGGAAGAAAAGAAGAAAAAAAAAAGTTACATCTCACCAACCACAAAACTATGCTGACAGTGAATCACATCGAAGACTCAAACAACAATGAAGAAAGGGCTAAGATCAAGAAAAACTTACCAGATTTCCGGTTTCTTTAGCAACTGTGACAAATACGATATCCGTGACGTGAGCGCGTGGGGAGAAGAGGGGTGGAGTTGTAAGCAGCGCAGCGGGTATGAAAGGAAAGAAGGATGAATGTGAGAACAGACGCAGCTGGCACCAAAGCCAGATGGAAAGAGAAAAAGCAAAAAAGAAAAGAAAGGAAAAGCAGCAAGTGGGGAAAAACAGAAGCTTCTGTGAAAGGCGGCTCTTCGCTATTTATTAGACTAAGGTGAACGGACGGGAATATTCTCCGCTGTATCTTAACAAACGGTTGCCACCGCTCTTCGGTACAGCGCCGGGAGTGAAGGGGAAAGGGTACCGGTACAGTACTGTACTTGCAAAAATTGTATCACGTCCTGTGACTTGGAACTTCGTTCCTTTTAACCTCCCCCGACTCAAAGCCAAAGTTACTTTTTCCCCACTAAGCCGGTCAAGAACTCCTCGAATGAAAGAAATTGTGCTTCCGGAAGAGGGCAGAGTGGGCTAAACAAATATAGCAGCAGTAGCGAGGGGGAGAGTGAGAGGTGGAAAGAAAATGGACAAGCCTTCACACGCTAAATTATTCCGATGATGATGTTGACAAGGGTTACAACATCCGTGCGTTCGCTATCTTCGGCTCTGGGGAAAATAAGAATCAGAGCCGATATGACACGCTGGCTTTCGATGAGCTGAAGAGGCAAAAAAAAAAAAGCCGGTGTTCCAAGAGCTGAAGGGAACTCAAGTGAAGTGAGATGAAGGGACAAGGGGAGGGGAGGGGAGGGGAGCGAGGGGAGGGTGACGGCGATGATAGTGATGAAGAAGAGAAAAGGAGTGCCTTTTATCACCCTTGATCTCTCGATACCTGAGAATACCCAGACCGCATGCAATTCAGGGGCCCGGAGTAGAAAATGGAGGCCTATCCTACCGCTCCGCTTTGGAAACCAGTGCAGGGCTGCTGCTGCTGTCGTCTTTTGTGGGGATGCGAGCCTAATTTCTGTGCTTGTATCATACTGTACTTGTATGAATCCCTATAATTCCATTGCATGATCCACTTCCTCCTACCCTACTCCTCTCCGTGGAACTGACCGCCGTTACCTACCGTCCGGTGCCGGTATTATACAAGTCTAGGAATCCAGTCAGTCAACCAGGGGCCTCGCCTCTTCTTTACTGTCCACCGTACCGTACCGTACTCGTACTGTACCAGTACTTCGCATTCACGATTTTATCTCGGCGTCGGCCGCCGACGCTGCCGCCTCACTGGAGCACAGGACAGCGCAGCACGGTCCTCGCAAGGACTTGCAACAGTAATCAAGACAAAACGGCATATCAATCCCTCATCCAATGGACCAGGCTTGCCGTCTGCCGTACCGTACTATCCTCCGCCCTCCCGCCTCGCTCCATGCGACACGGCTGATTAAGGCCTATACGGTACCTCAATGTACTTGTTGTACCATACCGCGTTATAGCACGATCCCCGGCTGCAAAAAACACAAGGACAAGGACAGACTGCATGCAAACTTATAATCAATCATTCGTGCTCATAGCGTTGCACAGGTACAAGCAACAGCAGCACATATCACAAACATTGCTCGATTCGAGGAATCATAGATAATTTAGCTGGCTAATATGCAGCGGTAGGGTTGCTGCTGCCGCTGCCAACAGGTTTCCTCCCACCGCCTACGGTATGCAGGGAGAGATTCCTGGGGAATTCTATGGTGTTCAATCCCGGTCTCCTCTTCGTGGTCCTGGCTTAACATTTATGCCTGGTGTTCAATGCAGCACAAACTTCCTTACCGTACTCATCGGCAACCCAGTTGTCGAGAAAATGCCGCACCCAAACTTGCACCCATCCATTATTACGCTATAGCCTTTTGTGGCATTATTACTCCCGCTCCTCCTTGAGCCCCGGCGAACCTCATCCGCGAGATCCCAACATCTGCCAACATATTCCCTGGTAGGGTAAATCCCATAAGCACTGCTCTCCCCGTACTCGAGTACCCATCCCCTCCCGAAACATCCAATCCCGAGCGCAGCCCCAGACTTTAGCAACACCATACGACCGACGATATCCTTGCGTCCATCCAGAAATACTGCACACCGGTGCGAGCACGTATGGGGTATCCGTAGTCGAGCATGTAGTCCCCTCTATTTTTCCCACGCATTGCGTTGGGCTAGATACCAGGCTCACACTACCGTAGTCTATTGCCCCGTCCGGGGAAGGCGATAAAAGGTGGACAACGAAGGGTATCTCAGCCCAGCCAGTATCAAATCCCGCATCCCACATGCCATCGATACTGGCGCAAGGGAAGGACATTTTGTGAGCTGGAATGGCTCCCTTGCTTCCAAGCGCGACTGCCCGTAGAGAAGAGGCCCCCTCCGCAAATCGAGGGTAATATCCCTAGCTAAGCTTTTTTCAGACCGAACTGGGCCAACACACGGAACGGGTGCACAACTCCGTCCCCCAAAACTGCACTGTATCACAAGGTTCCAGAAATGCACATGCCAGCTACCATATTGAGATTATGGTGGTCAATTCCCTTGATCCCGATTTCCGCAGCCAAATCACAATACAGTAACAAGAAAGCTGGGACTACTCTCGCCGATATGGCTCCCTCCCTTTCTCCTATGCCCAAAATTAGACCCCCCCTCTCCTCCCCCGCCATGCGCTCTTCAGAGCGCATCAAACCAAGCTTTTTTCTACCCGACAATTAAACGATATTGCGCCGTCCCCAATTCCCAGAAAAAAGCAAATATCCCCTGCCGATACCCGAAGGTAAGCGTGCGCGCGCCCTGGATTTCTGACAGTCTTGAAATTGAACCGTAATCGCAATTTCTCCAAAGCACTGGTTGCTGGTAGAGCCGTCAGTCCTGGTAATTTGGTTCAGGCCCCGGGCGACGGGAAACAGCGCCCGACACGATCATAATACAAGTTTAGACAACTTTGTTCCACCACCCATATGTACGAGCGCGGTATCCAAAAGTCTCAGTAGTAACCGGTATCTCTTCCGCCGGGATTCTCGCAAGCAGAGCCGTGCTGCTACGCCCGACAGATACAACCACACGTTAGCAATACTGGAATGGATCGGCACTTGAAATGTGGAGTTTGTGGCACCTGGACTTGTTCAGGCCGTGATCAACCCTCCAGTTGCCCGTTGCATACAATATATTCCCTCAGCGCTTCAAGAGAAACATCGATGCACGGGATGAATGAATCCGCGGCTCGAAGCTTGTCGTGTAACACCTGTGGCACCCCAACGCGCAGCTCTTGGAAAGCTTGTTTCACTACCGTAGTTAATCCCACGCAATACCCACGTTCTCCTTCTGGTGTCCAGTTGTCGATTCCCATAGGTTCCTAGCGCAACTGATGATCGAGTGCGATATCACTACCCCACGTCCCAGATATAATTTGGCAGCAAATCTCTGGATAAAGAGCGTATGGGAGAGTATCCGCAACTACAACGTAGCCGCCAAGGTTCACCACGACTCACTCGAAGACGTGCTTACTCGGAGCCAGGGCATGTAACCGATTATTCCTTCGGGAATGTACACCCAGCCAGCCGATTCTGTGCATGACCATATCCCAGGGGACACGAGGAAGGGAAGGTGTAGTGATGTGAAAAAGGATTTTCAACAATTACAGAGCTCGTGACTCAGGCCCTCATCAGCATGCCGCTTAAAATCCGATGGCTTTCGCGGAATAACTGCAGTGTGGTGGCAATAGGAGATAGATAAGGTCATTAACGTACCTTGTGAGGGGTCCCTCGATCTCGGCCACGTACCGTATAGCGGAAAAAGAGGGGTATAATTGACCTCCCTCTAAAATTATTCCCTCCTTTGCCCTACCAGTGCCAGGACCACTTTGATCATAGCACCCTCCCTTTTTAAAATGAAAAGAGCAGTCGTCCCTCCACTCCTGCCAATACATTCCATTTCTAGCTAATCTTCCCTCATTAACCATACCGGTACGAAAACTGACCTAAATTCCCCGAAGCCCGGGGAACGAATTATACATCAAATCCCAAAGCTGTAGACACTTTTGTACCGCAAGGACCCGCAACCCTTGACCGACCTGCAAGTCCCATATGATGAGAACGTGGGAGACATCAAGAGAACGCACACTGCCGAAAACTGATAGCCACCCTCACTTCCCTCACACAAAATTATCACCCCATATTAGAGAGAAAGTCTAGGACCTCTATGTAGCACAATAAGGGAACGCGGCAGCTCGACTGTCCAAGGATACCGGAGGGTCTTGTTTTTGGCTAGTTTTTTCTTTTTCTTCCTGCTCCCCAAAAAGCCTGCAGACATGCGTCTCCCGGAAGAAGCTCTCGGATCCTGACAGCGGAAACCGCATCCATCCCATGGAAGGTCTGCCTTTGCACTGGCCAGAGAAAATGGGGAGTTTAGCCCTTTTAATCTTAAAGTTAGCCGAAGCAAAGGAGCTTGCTGTAATGAATCTGCGAAGGTGGAGAGGACGGAGGATGCTGTCTATACCGTAGTCCAATATATAATTGAGCTCTCGCAGAAAATTTTGCCCCATGGGCATACCCTCGTGAATCCCCAAATAACTTATACCAACATCCAGACCTGGGGACTTGGGTAAAGAATCAAAAGGTTTGCCCAGGCGAGAAGTCTAACCCCTTCCCGAGTTGTTATTCACTCAGCACCGGAGTCCCCTACCCCTCCCCTTAACAAATCATTCCGGTCAAACCAATCTTCTATCCCTACTGTAGTGATGGTGCCTGCCGAATTTCCCTACACCTCAACAAATACCGATAGTCTAGCGGCAACCCGATGTACGAACTGGTGCCAACACCGTGGGTAGTCTTGCTGTTTCCCAATTATTATAGGACACCTCAGACCCGCCCTGAAGCTCAGAAGCAGGCCACCATCACATCCAGGGCATCAACTACCGAGAACCCAGTGAATCAAGGAAAACCAGAACGCCTCCAACGGCCTACTTTTCACCCCTCTTGGGCTTCCGTTGCTCCGCCACTGTATACCAGGGCAGTCAACACGAACCTCTTGGAGTATCGGCTCAACACTAAGACTACTAATCAGTATCCATCAAACGCAATGGAATCCTCCACCACTGCAGGGATAATATACTCCTGGCACTGTCAAGTTATTAGAGAGAACAAGAATTAACATTAAGCTTTCACCAACCCCAGAGCCAACCCCAGACCCCTAACAAGCCGGGGACCTGGGCAGGGGCAAATCCCCAACCGCCCAGTCTTCTCCGCACCCCTACCAGCATGAAGCGGCCCCCCCGCAGGGGTTTGGCAGACGGTGAATTGGCTCTCGAAAGGGCACGGTGGCGGGAAGCCGGCGACGAAACGTGAAAAATGGCAGCCTCGGTGATGTCAAGGAGTTGGGGGAGGCAGACCCAAAGTAAGCTTATTCGGAGAAACGCACAACGAAGCAAACAAACGCAACACCCTCGAGCAAACAAAGGGTACGCGTAACCCCTCCAAGCCTGTCATGGAACGAATGATAACTTGTGACTAACTCGTGCAAGAAAAAAAGAAAAAGGTGATTGTTTGGGAGACATCGAGATGCTGTGGACTTACGCCACATAAAGCGAGCCTTTGTGGAGGGGGTTAGCTGGTTCGCTTCCGCATTGGTTGTCCCCCCCTGTGGATACTCCTAGTACCCTGCACCAGCAGATCTAATCTGTACGGGTCTACCTTAACCTTGGGCCGTCCCATTGCATCCTAAAGCATTACGATCAGTACTCGAGTATCTCGTGAGGGTTGGAAAGGTTGCCAAGAAGCCAACGCCAACCAAGCGCACAAAAAGAGTAGGAAGCAGTGAAGATCGGGAAAAAAAAGTAGGAATGCATACGTAGTCCACAACGTAAACATTCCTACCACAAGCACAACCGCACAAGAAACACACGACCCGGGAATTCTGACCCTGCTTTCCATCTAATACGGTGGGGATACCCTGAACTCTCTGCCAGATATCATATACAGAACACATATAGTAAATTTACCAACCTCACAAAAGTTCCATACAGCCCGACCGAGCAGACAGCGGCAACAAAGAACAGCGACCGAGCCGTGATTCAAGCAAAAGCTCAAGCTGCACGAGGGGTAGGTTTCCCCACCGTACTAGTACAGCACAGTACAGTACACAATCCAACAGGGTATATCCCACAATCACATCTTCCGGAATGCGAATGGTGAATTCAGCGGTGCGCGGTAGCAAGCTTCTCTCTCTCTCTCTCTCTCTCTCTCTCCAAACCAACCCCCCGGACCCCCCAAAGGAAGAAAAGAAAAAAGGGGGGGGAGAAAAAAACTATGATGGGTCCCTACTAGGCCAACGTCGAAAATCCCCCAAGTATCATACTGTATCATATCACAGCTGCATAATATTATCCGCGTCGTGGTTGACTTATCCCTCAACCAATCTGCGGAACCATCCAATCCCTTCCTTCCTTCCCCATAGTTGAATCTACGACTCGCCAAAAGATTGGGATGACAATAATGGTTTTAGAGAGAGGGCAGAACTTTTACGGGCTCGTGGGACCTTCGCTTGGTGATGGGTAGGCCTCAGACTAGCCGCAGGATATTACGTGGATGAAATGACGGAATCGGGAGTTTTGGGGCTAATCTCGGCGGGATCAGCACGTCACACCCCCGCCCACCAACCAACCACAGTCCGACGTGTACCCGAGTGAGAAGTTGTGCACTGTGATAAGTATAATTCCCCTTGTGTTCCTGACAGCCCCAACATAGGACGCATATCACACAAGCTAACACGTTTATTCTATTTCATCTTTCACCGAGTAGCCCACCGATTATGTATATACATTGCAGAATCTAACCTAGACCCCCCTCCAAAGCTAGGAGATCCACGGTCCAAGGTATCAGAAGCTATATGCTATTGCGTCCGCCGCTCATTAACCACCTTTCTTCGCACACATTCCCCCGGCGGCACATTACTGCAACCAACTCAGCCAAACACCCAACCCTCCTCGCCCCCAAAGTCTAACGAGCGTAAGCCCAAAAACGGTGATGATGACGACGCAAAATGAACAAACCAAAGACCCCAGCCCATTTTATACAGGAAAACGCTCTGTTCACACAAGCGATCAAAGAATCAAAGGAAAAAGTTTTGACTAAAAAATTTGCCATCTTGGCTATTTTCCCTATCCCGCAAACAAACTAATAAAATAAAACAGGGTAAAAGTAAAACGAAGATTCTCGCCAGGGTATAAACGTTGCTAACATGTACGCATCTCCCATCCTTGGCAAAGCGAGCGATAACTATTTAATAAGAAGAGCAAAGAGAGAACGGGGGGAAAGAAAAAAGGGAGGGGGGGACCCGCTCAAAAAAACGCCGTACCACGCCACAAAAAAAAGACACTCTTTTTGGAAACACTCGTACATTAATCGAATTCCGGCCAGCGGTCGTAAGCTGGGATATCGGGTCCTGTCCAAGATTCGCCGTAGACGTTCCTACGTGTTCCTTGGAGGAAGCCGTCGTGGGCTCTTTGAGCGACGTCGAACCAAGAATTTGGCTGTGGGTGTTTGGCCCACTAGAGGTATCGGGTTAGATGCGACGGACAGAGAACGGCAAGGGGAGGGGGGAGCAAACCTGATTGTGAATATGATAACTCCAAGCTCCTCTGAAAAAGTTTTCCAGCGTTCTGTTATTCGGCGGGTATTTATCATCCTTCAATGTATATGGCTTTCCCCCATATGTCACATCCACATCCCCCCTTTCCATAGCCAGAGCCCCAACCGAGGTAAGCTCAGCCTCTTCGGGTGAAGATAACGGCAAATCCGAGATGCGAGACCTGAGCTCTAGCTCCCTCTGATACACCCTTTCCGAAAGCGGCTCCCCATCGTAGCTCTCCCACTCATCCTTGATTGCACCCTTTGTCCCTTGAAAAGCAACACCGTAATCCTTGAAGCAGGGAACCGTGCATCTCCCTTCTCGGCCCCAATTGAACTCGCCCCAAATTGGGTCAAACAGCCCGGTCTCAAACATGGCAAACTCCTCGCTTCTCCCATCCTTCCATGCCATCCTCCCAATTATTCTCGGGTGAAAGTTCAGACCCATTCTGATTCCGCCCCTAACGAGATACGAGGATAGAGAGCTGTTTGCGTTGAGAGACATGACAGCAGTGTTGTAATCCCCAGGGTGTGAATGAACCGCCCAACGTTCGGCAAAGTTGTGATCAGGCGTCAGTAACAGCGGCCGCATGTCACGCAAAAGCATAACATCCATATCCATATAAACACCTCCATATAAATGTAAGACAACGAAACGCACGGCATCCGAGACAGCAACGGGAAGAAAAGTCATCTGGCGCTCAGTAAGCACAAGCCACTCGCTACCATCTTCCATCCGGACAACCCCGTCGGCAATGTAAACCTCCGGTTTGGGACTCCTAGTGTCACCGGAGGTTCGGCGGATGGATCCCTTGCCGGCCAAAGATTTCGTATATGCTGGATCCTCAGCGATAGCCCCCTTGGGCAAGGGAATCCTGCGGGGGAATTTCCATGCCTTAAGAACCAGATCGCCACGCTCCACAAGCGGAAGAAACTTGGCGAATAGAGGATCCTTCATCATGTCTGGCACAGCGTTCGGAAATCCATCCGACTCGAGCCAAATATGGAGCCTGCTGCACGGAATATTTTGAGTATACAGATAAGCCTTGACGAAAAGCTCCACCCGCCACGTAGCCGGACCAGTCCAGTACGTATGATAGAGCTGAACGGGGCCAGGGCAATCCCCAATATGGTGTGTGGATGGGGAGGCAGCATCCTCAATCGATTTGTAGCTCGGGTCGGCGGCCGAAGGTCGGTTCTCGGGCATGAAAAAGTAGTCATCCTGGTGGTGGGTAAGGTAGTCTAAGCAATCATAAACATTCCTCATCTTCTCCAACCCATTTAAGGACCCCCGACACGCCTCAATCAATTTTGTGTAATTCGCATTCGTATCCACATCTGGCCTCTTCCCCATGAAAGCATCATTGATATTCTCAACCAACGTCGTTGGCCTCAACCGCCAATTCACACCCCCGGACAACGAGCCCCCCTTACTATTCTTCCCCGTTGATTTCTTTGGCGGACCCTTCGAAAACGGGGAGATGGTACCAGTTTGATAGACGTGCAAAACTTCGACAACGAACGTGTAGGCTAACGCCGCGATGAAGAGATTCCGGAGGAGAAGGGTGAAGCGACTGCATGATGAAGGTTTCCTGCGATCCATAGCGGGTGAAAAGGGCGAGGGGGAACTGCTGCCTCTCCAGCGGCAGGGAGAAGCAGGTTATCGACACGGGAGATACGAGGAATCCAGCGAGAGGGAATTGTTTGGCGAAAGGTTTATAGAGGCGTCGTAAGGTTTGGCCAATTCAGGGGCTCCGCGAGACACGAAGGCGGCAAAGCGATATTTGCCGCTTGTCGGAGCGTTCTTTCCCGACGAAAAATAGAGTCGGCAGCAAACTAAGGGATATGGGAAGCACCGGAAGAAAAGAAACGGAAAATAAATAGGGCGAGAAAGGGTTGAGGGCTGAGGGAAGAAGAAGAATAACGCAAAATGGGTGGATTGGTTGGTTGGGTACGGATTGAGCTGCGGTGGTGGGAGGCAGAAGCTCCGCCAGGGACACAGACAGGGTCTTCCCCAGCCGCTCAGGGAGCCAAACCCTCACAAGAGATGATTTCCTATTATCCCCGAGCACGATACCGTATAGAAGAATTGATTTTGGCCGCCCGCTGGCTCTTTTATCATAACCCCCGTGAACAGGGTCAAGCTCACATCTGCAGCGAACCTGCTTTCCTAACCTGGTCATGGACTGACTTAACGGCATCAGCAATCTTTTACTCTCCAGCGGTAGAATCGGAATTGCGAGCCTGATGATGCCAAGGCTACACTCTACCCGCCAAAATCGCGAAGAATAATGGTTAAATCAGTGAAAAATCCCATCACGAGGCTGAAAATCCCAAATGCTCGCAGCGCCCAGCAAGCCACATACCAATCCCTGAGCCCCTCGTTTCTCCGGATCGAGCCATGTCATTACCCAGTTAAGGATCAACGCGCTGGTACGAGCAAACTCCAACCAGACAGACGCCACAGAAAAAAGGGAGACCTGTCCCAACGGTGAATTTCTCAATGATACAAACTTTCAGGAAGCAGGAAATGCGGGGTCCAGGAAAGTCTTCTCACGATCGGTTCTATTGATCAGCGGGTCAGAAGGCATGATTTGGATAACAGGGATTTTCTGTGAAACGGCGAGGCTAACGGTGGAGCCCAACGGCTAGGCATTCAGCCTCAGTGTTGGGCAGGCGTTTTTCGACGAAAAACTCGCATAAACGCTCTCCAATAGCGGGGCTGGATGCCTCTCTATGTTTAGGGAATATCTTCGTTTCCTGCGCCACAATATGTGCGGCTGAAACTGCTGGCGGGGGTGGTGGGAGCGGCCGGTTTCAATCCCGGTGTCATACCCCATAAATTTAAATGGGGTACCGGCTGCCGGCAGATTCATGAAAAACCCAAGTTGACCACGATACTCGAGTATAGTGTAGGCAGAGGTACCGCACCGGTATTCGCTGGTTCGGATATGATGCTGAAGCACCGCACACTGCTCGAGTACTCGAGTACAAGTGCTCCAGTAGAGAGCTTGTCGACTTAGGAACTTGATCTTGGCGCTGCTGAAGCACGGCAAGGCCCACCAATGCCAGACCATCAATAGCAGCACCGCCGTGGCCAAACGATCAATCTCCCCGTACGGGCCCAACTGACACTCCCAAGCCACCACAAGTGCTTTTCCAATGCCCTTTAACTTTCAAATCTCGAAGCTTAAGATGGCTCACCGACCCCGCGCTGGCACAAAGCTAAGACTCTAGTATCATATCTAAATAAAAAAAAGTGTACGGTACCGGCTACCTCAGGGGGTCCCCGCGACAAGATACCGGTAGCTTACGTTATTGTAAGCCCAAGGCGCACTTTCTGACCCCAGGCAACCTTCCATCACCAGACCACCAGCCACGTACTGTACTGTACAGTACTGGAGCACGGCACTGTTCAGTGCCGCGCTATGCTAACCCACCACACAATACTCGCACACACTACAAACACCAAACAACCATTAAAGCAGCCCCCCACCCAATCAGCCCCTACCGTACGTATACCAATTCGAGAGCAAGCAGAATCTGAATGAGACCCCCTTATTACCCCGTCGCACTTACCGTAGGTACGGTATGACCCCCACCAGTGCCTAATAAACGCGCCCCCGGAGACCGGAAAACCAATCCTTCCGAAATGGAAGACGGAGAAAAGAAAAAGAGCACGAGAACGAATCTTTCTTGCCGATGTTGCGACTGCGGTACGGCAAGTTATCTCTTGGTCGGTTTGTCGGTTTACCAGATGGGACAATTTATTATCCCGTTACTCCCACTACAGTACTCCTGCTCTTGCTCTTCGTTCTCGTTCATTGAGAGCAAGTCCCGAGCCGGGGGTCAATTAATCAAGCTTGAAAGAGCCCAGTTCTGGGGAGGAAGAAGGCTTATCCAGTGGGGCTCATCCGTTCCGGAAGGAGGGCTCCCGGCCGGCAGTGATTGGGTGCCGCCGCAACGGCTGCAGGGAAAGAGAGAGTTAGTGTCAGACGTCATGGTCGGGTTAGCCAGACGCATGTCTTGCAGATAGATACCCGCATCATATTTTATCACTCTTGAGATACTGGAACTGAGTCTGTGTTCGGATCTAGATGCGAGATTGACGAAAATTCGGAGTGATTGGCGGCTCGGAAAGTTTTGCACTCGCTATTTTATTGGATTGTGCTGGTGCTGCGGACGTTCAAGCACTCCCACACGGAGCATTCCCCAATATGGGGAGCGGTCCGGAGGAATGCAGATCGAGTCGGGGAGCCAAAAGAGGATTGGCATCCTCTTTTTTTTATCACAACCCTACCGCCTCATGACACGTGCGCCATGGTATGCCAAAGGTCTACAGGAGGTTGCATGCAGAATCATACCACTCGTTATAACTAAAAGGGGGAAAACATGGGTGTGTGTTTTGTATGGGCGCTCAGGTAAGCACATACGGCATGGTTGCCCTATGCCCTTTCAATCCCTGGTTCAGGACACAACCGCACTCCGCTATCACAAACCCCTTCAACTGGATATCTTGCTGAACCGTAGAAATCCCGTGACGGTTCCCAATTCTCATATAAAAGGATTCGCCGAACTAGAAATTTAAGGGTATAATATTCGGATTTCATGGAGAACTTGCTTGCACCCTACCCCCCACTCTTATACTACTACTGCATTCCTCCGAACCTGCTTGTGGTGAGATTAGAAGGACCATCCCTAAGAGCGAAAAGAGGAAAGAAAGGGTGTGAATACTAATTACCCGATAGCCCAGTAACATCGGGGGGGGGGGCAGTTTTCCCCGTCTTTTGTATCCTATGAGGAATGCAGAGGGGAGGGTCTCCCCCTTGTAGCATAACCTAGGATGTTCTGGGGGAAAGGAACCATAGGAGTCTCAACTGGGCTGCCCAAAATGATAGTCATTAAGTGCCGGCGGGGGCAATATATTTTGCGTTGCATGCACCAAGAACCCCCTTTCTCCGCTATCCCCCTTTATGCCGGACGAAATACAAAGTCCTAACCATCTGGAATAGTGGAGGGGGGACTGTTCTTCTTTCCCGGGGCGAGCAGAATGAGCAGGAAGTCCAGATTAGAAAAGGAAGGAAGTTATAACCTCTAAGTCCATCACTCCCATGATTCCCTATTCCATACACTTTTCAACCACTGTTCATTTCGGCCTCCGTGCATAGTTCCCCACTACCCTAAAATATTGGCACAGATTTCCACATATCCAGCCCTCCACCCTGATTTGAAGCTGCTTGCTCATCGAAATTCCCTCTAATCCACACACACACCCGCCCTCTCACAGAATATCACGCATGGCAACCAGTCAATCAGATCAAGCCCGCCCCCCCAATCAACACCGCAGCTCACGGTCTAGTAGCGTGAAATAATAATAATAAAAGATGAAGAAGGGCGTGCTGATCTGCAAGAGCCATATTATAAAATACATCCCTCCCCTCCGGAAGGCCTGTGATGCTAACCATTTTTGTATCCCTTTCCCCCCTATAGTTCCGTTCATAGTGCAGGCGTTAAGGTAATACAAATCTTCAAACACTTAAGCTACTGTTTTTTAATTCGTGGTGGACGTTCCATACACTCATTATGCACCTGCGGGGGTCACTTGTCCACCCCGGGCACAGTACGAAGGGTTTGCTGGTAGGTACTCTCGATACCCCTTGGAACCGAAATAACATTCCAAAGCTTTAGAAGAGGCACAGAGTATATACAGTAGCTTGTAAACAGGACATATACAAGTTTCGTTTACCCTTCCGTTACTGAGTTGGTGGATGAGAAACAGAGTTACTCTTTCAGCGTAGGAAATACGAGATCAGGTATGATATATAGCGGAAGTGAGGGCGCCGTATTCATAGAACTCTAGGATACAATCCAGATAAAGTGGTGGGGGGATCGCAAGATGGATTACCCAAAAAGCAGCGATGGGGGTAGGGATTATTGGCTAGGTATTTACGAATATGTGGGGGGGGTTTCTCGTTCATCATGTCCTCTCGGGAATTTCCTTGACACTAGAAAAACTCGAAATAACACTAAAAAAAAGCGGGGAACAAACGATGGCAAAGAAGGAGCCAGCGAAGAACCCGGATACCCGTGGTGGTTATGGTAAGTGCGAGCATGGTACCGCCCAGACTATGGATAAAGCAGGAAGGGAATAAAACCGCCTTCTAGGCCATATAGCGATGAAACCCTGCGTGAACACTCCATCCAGATGCCACTGTGGCGGTGGTTGATATCGAGTGATACTACATGATTATATTCCTACTAAAAACATCCACAGTATTGAATCATTTTATATCTCGCGACCCTGATGGAGAACGGCTCGGGCTATGCGGTGGAGGAAAAGACCGGACGGGAAAACTTTACGAACGGAATGATCGATAACCGTGTTAGATTAGGGTAGATAGACCCGATGAAGTATCCATCATCACCCTCGTCACTGCAAACCCCGGCAAGTCTCAAAATCCAAGGAATCACTGCGATGATATCAGGAACTCTGGGGATTTATTTAGGAGGCGAAGAAGGAGGATCCATCGCCGTCCCCAAAAACAGAAAATCAAGCACTGCAGTGGGAACTAAATCCTGCGCTTTACCGGAGGTCCCCATGCAGAACTGCATAGAACTGGAAAAAAATCGAAAACCGAGTTCACAATAGTAGCCACACACCGAGCCACCATCCCGCCAGAAACAAACAAACCAGAAGCTCTCGCCGCGGTGGTATCTACCGGGAGGGCAAAGGAGCCCGGCTGGCTATTCCATGACCTTCCATTTACACGAAAAGTTTACCCGCTGCCGCCTCTATGGCTGGTCAGTCATATTGGGTAAGTTATATTCTGGTCTGCTGGAATTTATCCCATATCTGCTCACCACGCAGATTGCGAGGAAGGCAAAAAGAGAGATCTGAATTGGTTTCAGGTTGTCCTACATGGTCTGTGAGAGAAAGCAGGCTGATCCATGGGCTTTGGCTAGAGACATAGCG